TTTTCTGCCTTCTCTATCCCGCCTGTACAGCCTATAGCCCCTAATGTTAACTGCCCAGTCATGGGATGAGTCCCACCATGTCTCTGTTAACCCTACGACATCTGGATTTGAACTAGCTATTCTGAGGGTGAGTTCCTCCTGTTTGTTCCCCATGCTACGAGCATTGGTGTACAGGCATTTAAGGCCTTGCAAGACTGTGTGCCCCCCCACCCCCTGATTAGCCAGACCATCAGGACCCCTGTTACTTACCTTTGCACCCCTTGCCCTGATGGCAAGACCCCCATTACTTACCTTTGCACCCCTTGCCCTGATGGCAAGACCCCCATTACTTACCTTTGCACCCCTTGCCCTGATGGCAAGACCCCCATTACTTACCTTTGCACCCCTTGCCCTGATGGCAAGACCCCCATTACTTACCTTTGCACCCCTTGCCCTGATGGCAAGACCCCCATTACTTACCTTTGCACCCCTTGCCCTGATGGCGTCTCCTCGTCTTCCTGCAGCCCCCTCCCCCGGCGAGTCTAGTTTAAAGCTCGCCGTACGAGATCAGCCAACCTGGAAGAGAAGATACGCTTGCCATTAGGGGAGAGATGAAGCCCATCCCGCCCCAGCAATCCCCCCTCCCGAAAGCATGGGTCGTTGTCAAGGAACCCAAGGCCTGCCCGGCGGCACCAGCTGCGTAAGCGCTGGTTGACCTCACCAATGCAGGCCCCGTGCCTCTGTCCCCGCCCCCTCACCGGAAGGAGAGAGGAAAAAACCACCTGCGCCCCCGTCTCCTTCAGCCTGGTCCCCAGAGCCTCGAAGTCCCTCATAATACGGTCAGGGTTGCCTCTTGCCGCGTCGTTTGTACCCACATGGACGACAACCATGGGGTACCGGTCTGCAGGCCGGATGCAGGCCGGGATCCTCTCCGTGATGTCCCTGACCCGAGCCCCAGGCATGACGCAGACCTGCCGTGACATGGGGTCGGGCCTGCAGATCGGACCTTCCAGCCCTCGCAGGAGGGAGTCCCCGATGACTAGGACCCGGCGTTTCTTCCTCCTGGTGTTCTCTCTCCTCCCAGTCTCTGTCTTGCAGATCCCATGTATCCTTACAGAATAACAGAATAAGATAGTTTCATTTACGCTAGTTCTGCCAAATGATTATCTATCATGTGAAACAAACAAATTCTACTAAAACATTTGACTTACTTTTTAGCCTCTGTTATCTGCTTCGACACAAGGACAGAAATTAACCAGGGAATGGTTGATAACTATCAATTTTTGTGAAGAATATTTACATTAATTTACAGTTGTCACCTTCTCTGCATTCTCTCCCAAATCAAAAAATCAGAAATGCTTACTGAAATATTTGGCTTTCAGTTTTTCACATTGTACCAAAAATATTGAACAAGTCTATCAAAACTGAGATTCAAGTGGCAACATGATTTCCAGCTCCATGAATCTTGCACTGCTGGCCAGTTAGTGAGCCGGCTTCAGCTAGAAGGATAGAAAGTGCTGTCAGCCTTGCCTTGCCTATAATCTGACAGTCAGGCCACTTTTCTGGAAAGCAAGAGATGTGGGTTCACACATCCTTAGACTGAAGAAAGTCTAGAACCCAGGTCTCCCATTTCCTGTTGTTTCAGTGATACTGGGCAAAATGTCGGCTCCTCATATTCTGAGGATATTTAACAGATGAGGCTCCTCTTGGAACGTAGGCATAGGGAAACACAATTTATGAATCCCAGAGAGCCTGAGGTGGGATTCTGGTGCTGCCATGCACATATAATTCAAAATGGCAGCCTAGTCTAAAAAAGCATACTCAATATCTGTACTTTAGGCACATACATTAGTTTTCAGCAAAAACCTGGGATTCATAAGACTTCTTTTATATCTAAGCATTTAGGCAGATATTTTCTGAAACTGGTGGTTTGATTTAGATGTGTATATTCCACCTAAATAATATATTCCACCTAAATCCCTTTTTTGAAGCTGGCCCTAAGTTCAGGTCTCAAAAATCTGTCTGTAGAGGGAACCCTTTAGGCCAGTGATTCTCAACCAGGGTGCCTTGAGATTCTTTCAAGGGTGCTGCTGGGTGCCATGCAGTGTTAGCACTCTTAAGTGTACAAATGTGGCCCCCTCTACACATTACACGTATCTTCCAATTAACTGGTTAATTGTGCAATTACCTTGAGACCAGCTACACATGCAAAGTACCTATCATGCCATAAAAAGCTTCAGCCAGCTATAAAAATAGATCCTGAAAATGTGTACTAACTTTATAACTAGTTGCTATCAAATTTTAATTTGTGCCATGTTCAGCTGGAAGTCCCGCAACTGAGTAGCTGCCAACTCTGGGCAGTAGCTGCTGACTCTGGGCTTCGGCAACATCCTGCAGCTGCCAGGACCCAGAATCTTGCAGCTGAGGATGCTGGGTCCCAGCAGCATGACTCTCTCAGATAGGTCCTGGCAGATGCAGAGTATTGCTGCAATCTCCCAGCCCTGGGGGTTTCACACATTCCTGGGACAGGGAGACCAGAGTTGCTGTGATCTCCCAACCCTAGGGGTTTCACTCTCCTCCAGGGCTGAGAGATCACAGAAGCTGCGTCTCTTAGCCAAGGGTGTGTGTGTGTGGTGGTGAGAGCTGCAGTTGGTAGCCCCTGAGTTGAGGGGGCTCCCAG